GTATCTCTTCTTGTAAACATGTGACCACGTCCACGTAAACCGTTGCTCACATCACAACTCTGGTGCGGTTTTGTGGAACAGTTATAAACAGAGCTAGTTGCTTCCATATTACAAGAAACTTGCCGTGTTTTGATCGGGTTTTCTCCCAGGCCTGGTCGGTCTGGTTCACCCGTTTCCACGCACGACTCATATGTGTTGCCGTCACATGCGGGTTTTTGGGAGCTTCTGCAGACAACGTATGCAGGAGTATATTTGATGTCCACAGGGCCAATAGCTAGGTACTCGAAGCTTCACAAACAGGATTGTATAGAAGTGCATTTTGTAACCTAGACTTGTTTGCAAAACACTTTTCGGGTCCATATTTTTTCTCGGCAACCAAGATAGAGGGACAGTTTGTATCTGATAGACGTTGCGGGATTAAACATTTGAATTTGAACTTTGTACACTATCCGAACGTGACATTCTCGAACGTTTGACTGACTTGTCGCAGTAAATAGAATCAGTGGCAGACCCCAGACGTTGCGATTATCGAGTCAGGTGAGATATAGATGCCAGTTCAGAAAGTAGTTAATGTCGCATCGAAGGGCTGAGGAATACACTGTCGTTGTAATATTGAAAAGGATAAAGTATTTACCTTCAGGGAATGTTTGTAAAGTCAACATTGATGTAAATTTTCATTGCGTTCATGTAACCTTATTATTATTTAGCCAACTTGATCATCCCCGTTTTGGGTTCATGCACTGATCTTGGCCCTAAGCGCATCTTTATACCAGCAGTACTGTTTGTTGCTGATATAATTTCGAGCAAATATTTTTTTTTGAAATAGAAACTTGATCTTCCGGATCATTGCCCTTCTTAAAGAAGCCATTCTGCCGGTTGCAGTAACTGATGGCCCTGCTCCAGCTCTCAAAGCGCGAACGCTCGAAATACGCGGAAATTCTAGGTTAGCGTTTTAGGGCGCTTTTCCAGCATAATCTCTACGCGTTGCTTTGCTTTTCTAATTTTTATCGCGTTGCATGGACATTTCTCTCGCTTTAATTTGACTGGCATCTACTAGCCACTTGTTTGTATACTTTTTGAAGTAAGAAACTTTCACACATGTAATAATCGGCACATAAATATGTCGATAAACCAAACTGCATACAGGACGCTGTCCATCCATAGTATAGCTACATAAAACCTGATTTTCGGGAATGTTGTAAACTTTGCAGACGGAAAACCAAATAATATGCAGCCGTGTAGCGGAAGATCCATCTTGTTTATTTGGCTACGGGGAGCTAGGTGGTGTTGCGGCAAATGTTTTCTACCATCAACTGAGGCTTCACCTACGGAGCTCATCGGGCCCAAAACTGGTAAAGACTGGGCTCCTGTGCTGTTTACAGTCTACTGAGCAAGATTCATGCGTCCGTGTCATTTGCCGACTGCTCTATTGCTGTATGATGCTGTTGACACTGATATCGATTGAACCGATTTTTCTGATTTCTGACGCAAACATCAGTTTAAGTACAGGTAATCGTACTTTCCTACTTTCTCAGTTTTATGAAATTCTCAGCAAAACTCTTGCCTTTCTATTGTGTGGACTCACCAATAAGCTGCATCTACTGTAATTTTTTCAAGGCTTTTTTGTGTTCCACATTTATAGCAACAAATGTCTTCAAGATATGCTTGTTGCATCATCTCAAACATTTAATGGATAAACAGTTTAGGAAAAGAGCGCATTTTAGATCAAATCAACCATACACTTTATACCGTTTTCATAGAAACTGAGTCCAGTATGCTCGAGACGAGGGAACGCCTAAATGACTAACCGCCCCCTCCCTACCACAAGGACCATATAAATCTGTACACAATTGTCCGTTTTATTCTTCATGCCAACGAAAACGATTGCTTGCCGATATGACTTGTCAATCCTATAATGTTAGAAAGACTGTCAAATCAAAAGGGCCGGAATTTATTATTTAAATTGTTAAAAGATAATTATCTTTTTAAAATCAAGTTGTTTGCTCTACCCTTTCCGCTAGACACAAAAACAATTATTCAGGATGCACTGCAAATCAAGGTCAATGCACTACCTCTCTGCATCGTCGCCGGTTTGCTTGTGTTTCTGAGCGGGTAATCCAAAAGTGCCTAAGCTTTCTGATAAAATGCTGAATCTCGTTGTAGGAGCACGGTGCCCCTCCTTCCGCATTATTTTTACGCGGACTTTCATGGCGCTACCTATTCTTGTGTCCCAAACCTAACACTATCCGTTATCCTAAGGCTAGCCCTAGCCCTAACCCTAAACAATATTTAAATGTTATGCAAGCTAACCTGTAATGCTAGGGTACGTTTTCTTAACTTCTATCCATTTTGTACCCATTGCCGAATACTAGTAGCTGCGAGCGTACCTGATGCAAACCTCTTTTAGTCCTCGCACTAATAATATTTTAGCGGGGTTATATAATAAAATAGTCGCAAAACCCCAGAAGAAGGACTGGACTGATGATGGTTAGGTAACTTGCACTATGGTCTTCTAAAAGACGTAATGATAAATTATCGGTAATTGTTACACGGAACCCCGTGTCAAGTACCAACTGAACTTTTTTGGCCGCATGAAAAGTTGTCACAATCCTATTTGAAATTTCGCCTGCATAATATCGCTCCGCGGCACGATCGACGGCGTACCAAAATGGATTCAGTTCTTAACGTACCCCAAAACGCAGCTTGGTTTACTGTTACCACCATAAAGTTCATATAACTTCCAACGCATTTTCACTAATTTTATGCAACATTGACAGCTGCATTGCTCAGTACGTATTGGCGTTTTTCAGTGTTGTCATCTCCTGAGAGCCCTTGGTGTACCCTGCTTGAAAAGCCCCGGAGAAGCAGAGGCAATGTGTGCCTTCTTGGATATTCAAAAGGCAAGTCTACTTTTCGATGCCTAGTTCTTCCTTTTTCGAGGCACCTATGCCTTTCTTTGAAATTAGCTGTTGAAATTATGCTGACGTCCCATGTTCACTTGGTTGACAATTTATTTTATCATAATCTGACGTAAACATGGCTTCCAAGTCAGGCTCCTAGTTTTTTATGCTAATTTATCCTCTCAAACAAGCAATTAGGGGCTGTTCGGAAAATAATTAAGCATCTTTTCATCTTTGTTTATTTTCATCTGTCGAGTCCGCGAAACTGCCGTAGGCTTTTCCTTCGAAGGACTCAGAGTTTATTGTAAATAATTTTTTCCCTCTGCGAAACTAAGAATTTGATTAGATTTTTTCTAGAACTAACTGATCCACGTTAGACGGCCTGCTCCATGTTCAAGTCTCATCGGTGTTCGGTTTTTTGTTGCTCTAGCTTGTTGACGGTTGTGTCTCAAATGATGGCGATTCGTTTCTTTATGGTGCCTCCAGGGTCTATCGTCACTTTACACTCAACTCTCGGGTAAGTCTGCATTTTGAATTCGTTATTGTTCCTCATTTTCCTCGGTAAAAAGTTATACGCGACGAGTGTGGCATGTTGCGCGGGAACTTTCAGATGTCGTAATTTTTAGATAACCTTAACCCGTAAGAAACTATGAAAAAATTGAAAGACTTACTCTACTGTGTCTTTCATCAGGTAAATCTTTAGCTTCTGCACAATAATTGTGTCCATAGTTCTATCTCAAGTAAGGTTCTTTGCAATTGATATATTTGTTTGAAAGTCTTTGCATGAAGTAGGATTTGGCAAGACTAAAAGGTGAAAGGTGAGTTTACTGAAGTCATCAAGTCTCACACCCGTTATTTAACCACTATCGTTCGCTGCATATACGGGGTAAGGCGGAATATATCAAGGCACCCTGAAGAAAATCAAGTTTGCTACATTAAAGAGGCTATTTCCTGAAATGTTAGCCGCGTTTCTGGCAGATGCTATCGTTTCAAAATTAATATTTAACTAGGGTTATAACATGTAGCATAGTCCCAAGATATTTCAATCACGTGAGAATGCCGGCTTTCAAACCAATTTCCTTCTTGCTGTCTACAAAAAACTACACTATAAAAAGATGACTTAAGTACTATGATTTTTCCCATTGATTGTCAATGCACTATGAAATGTCAATTCTAAAAACATCGTATCTGTTAAGTGCATAACGTTTACCACACTCCCTGGGGAAATGAAGCCTTCTTTATAGCCTATAGAATTGCGTAATATTCCTTACACGGAAACTACACGCCTTGCAGTTTGTTTACCTTAAATGCGAGTACAAAAGAAAATCGGGATAACAATTACTGAGGAGTTGAAAGTTTTTTAAACTGCAAGGCGTCGTTTCTTCAAGTATAAAATTCGAAGAAGGCGTACTTGTCTATCCAATAAGTGCAAGAAAAATATTCTACTGCGTTCTTTCCGTGAAGTATACTTAAATTTCTATGAGAACTGGTAAGGGAGGCTGGAATGGTCATTTCTGGTTTATTAGCCGTCATCAGTCAGGCATACCCAACTGAGGCTCAAACCCGCGACTTGTTGATTAAACATCTAACGCTCTAACCATAGAGCCACGGGCTCGTGGTCTTGTCGGTTTCGATAGGAAATATTGCGTTTGCTGGATAAGAGCTCACCGAG